TTAAATAAGATCCTTCTCAGAGCCCAGTTTCCTCATCAGCTTTATGGCCTTGGACAGGAGGAGCAACGGATCTGCCCAGGCTTGCAAAGTTTGTTGCAAACCAAGAACACAGGACATTAGACTGGCCTGAAATCTCCTGATTTAATGAACACATCATCTAGGATATTATTAAAGTTAGTTATGGCTACACTGAGCTCCTGAAATCCACAGTTTACTTCCTTCCCAGCCAAAACACACCTTGCAGATGGACTCCATGTGGGGATTGGAAGCAAAAGTCCCGTCCTGTAGAAACCTCTGACATTCCTCGTGCCAGTGCTGCCATTTCAGCTCCAGCTCAGTCAGTGTCTGGGTGTTGCCAAGCTGAACAGAGGGTAAGAAACATGGAATAAGTGAAACACAAGTCAAATCACAACAGGCACTTGGGCTGAACTCACAGTGGTTCTTGATAAAAAGCTAAACATGGGGCTGCCCGTGATCCTTCTATATTGGTTTGTCACCTAACAGGCTTTTACCTGAATTGTTGGGTCTTTGGGCAATTCGAGAATACAAATATTGTTACTGTAAAGGAATAAGAGTGAGATGTTCTAATGGGGAATAATTTGTTACAGGGGACACATCAGAGGTGGCTCTTTTCCCAATGAACTGCGTGAAAAAATCCACTTTGTACATACACTGGGCATGGGCATCTTCTTCATCAAGTCATCCAAGATTTTGTACATGTTCATTGAGGTGGGATTGGCAGTGACTTCCTTGGAGAGCAAGTGCCGTGCTTCGTCCATCCGGCCTTGGAGCACAAAGATATCCACCTGCAAAATCCACCCATCCATGAGCACCCAGGAAGGGCATCAGAGGGGAATTCTAACTTGTGATTCAGGCAAGTGGAGTGGAGTTAAAATGCTTAAACTGCTAATTCAGAGACACAGTGTAAGTCTTGACCTCTACGGGTCATGAAAGTGGGAGGCTCAGGATGGCAACGAGGGGCAGGATGATCTTCAGAATGGCTTCACCTTAAAACCTACACGGGCAGAGAGCAGCAGCGACCCAGCTTCTGAGGTGCGGTCTAGTGTCAAGTAGGGAAGAGGAAGGAAAGCCCATAGGCACGAATTCTCTTTGTTTAAGAACCTTGTAGGTGATGGCACTCACCACGTTCCAGAAGAGCTTGTGTTTGGAGGGGTTCTCACTGCTCAGAACTTCCCGGACCATGCTGTCCACATCGCACACGTGGAGTCGCACCCAGTCCAGGAGGCGAAGCAGGAGGGGCCCAGCTGTGTGCAGACAAGGTTTCCCTCTTAGTTCCCACCTGTTCGTTCCCAAACTGCTCTCTCAGAAACCTTAACAGTCGGACATCATTAGATGGGGTTCACTGGTTGGATTTCTGCCTCCCACACTCAAGTTACAGAGCTCCCCAAGCAGCCAGGCTGTGGGAGCACCCGCTGCTGACAGGTTTCCCTGTGGCAAATTTTAGACAGAGCAGCAACAAGGTCCAGCAGAAAACCCAAACCAGTTACTTGAAGAAATAAAAGGTGAGTGACTCAGATCATAAATCCTGCAATGCCAAAAGACAAAGAGAATATTTCTGTTTATTTTAACGTCAGTTCATTATTATTAACTGAATATGAGGAAGAAATTTGGCATTAGGTGATTAACTTTTCTTCAGATTAAGTAATTTGTGAATCTCTTCTGAATTCTGGAACTGTACAAGTAGAGTATTTGTTTGCATAATCTGATTTCCTTAAAAAAATTATTTACTACTTTAAAATGCTGGTGTAAACAAACTGACTTCAAAAATGGCATCCTGAAGTTAAAGGAATTGTATCAGAGCTGTATCAATGTCAGCTGGCATTGACATATTTGATGCTAAAAGATGTGTTTATGCTTAGAAGTCAAATACATTGGCAGCAACATTTGATATGTCTTCTCTTCATAACCTATCTGATAAAGGAGACAATTTAAATCATAGTGTACCATGCAGGAGGGGGAAAAGTAGAGGGCAAACTGAATAGCTTGACATAATTCAATATGAAGAAGGCAATTAACTGAGGCAGAAGGGGGATTAAAGGGTTTATTGACACTCAACGTATCTCTAAAACGTATTAAACTATGGCATAATGGATGACATATACATTTTAAACAAATATGTATGCAAGCAAAAAACCCTTCAGTCTTAACACCAGGACAGTTCCCTGCTCACCTGCAGCTGCTTCAACAAACAGTATCTCACAGAGGTTCCAGATCAGCTCCATCGCAGAGAGAATGGAAACCTGAGGAAAAGCAGGGCCAGGTTTCAGAGTTAGTAATTATTCCAGTTGGGTTTTGTAACCACACAAAGGCATCTGCTGTCCATGGCAATCAGTTAAACTCAGTTTGTACAGAAAAATGTCATATTGACATTTCAGAGATAGAAATTAAAGGCCGTGTCTTCACCACACACATTCAGCTCAGAAAGTATTGATGCTGTTTGTGTTCTGAAATGCAGCAATAATCAGTCTGCAGTGGGCAATACCAAACAGCCTTTGGCACTTCTAGGATTAATAATACAGAGAAGGAAGAAAGGCCAAAGGAGAAACAGCACTGCAGCTAACAGGACAACACTGCTGTGAGCACTCTGCTCCTCCCAGAACAACCCTGTGCTGTCTGACAGCTCACAGTGGACACCCAGAGCTTGCTGTGAGGCTCAGATGCAGCTGGTTGGAATCTCAGTGCTGGAGAGGTGAAGGTTCAGACAGGCAAGTCTGAAACTTTTCTGGTCAGTCAGCTTTGAGATGGCAAGAAAACACACCTATAACACTAAATATATAAGACATGGCAGTGAATTGAGGTGTTGGAGATCTTTAGAAGTAGGGGAACTAACTATTTATTTCCTTTTATTCTTGGTCATGAACTGCATGTACTGTACCAGGATAGAGTTAAATCTAAAGTGCTTTATGTCACAGTGGTGGCCTGGTGAATTCACCAGCCAGAGATCCATGTTCAGCTGTGACTGTGTGACATGAATGCAGGTTACCTGGGTGCTGTACTGGCCTTGGAGGGCAGGATCCCGAGTTGAAACTGAGGGAACAAGAAAAATCAAAGAGCGACACGTTTACCTTTGACAGCCCCTTGTAGGCTCATAAATAAGACAATAATACCTGATTACTCATCAAGCACAGACCTAAATGAGCTTTGTAAACTTGTTTTATAAATCCTGTACAAATCTGGGTATGGCTACAGGGCATAGATGAGTAACATTTCCCACTTTCTGGGGAAGCAAGCTGTTAAACTGGATTCAGTTTCCCGTAAAACTGGAGCCAAAGATATGAAAAGGCTTAAAGTCCTCCAAAAATCACAGTGGGGAAAAAAATAATCTCTGACCAGATTTACACACTAACTTGGAAATCTCTGGCATGAAACAGAGTCCTGAGAATTACAGAAATCTACCCATGCTATAGTACAGTAGTTGCAGTAACTTACCATTGAAATGTTACTTTTATAGTCACTAGTGTCTCCTTTTCTTGCAGTAGGAGAACAAACCAACTTACCAGCTGCCTGGTGCATGTCCTCCATGCAGGCTCTTATCACTGACCGGTAGTTTTTACTCACTTGAACCAACCTGCCAAGTGCAAAAAGGCTTTGGTTGGAGAGAGCTGTTGGAGTTTTCTAGTCTCATGCCAACTGCCCTTGCAAGTCTCTCTGGAGCACCAGGGGCTCCCAGCACTTGGGTGGCTCCAGCTGGAATCAGTGAGGCTGTGCCACACTATACACTAGCATGGACTTGTTCAGTGTGGTTATCGGAAGGATCGGAGACTTGTTTTGTAACATCACCCCAAAACAATCATTGTTTCTGTCCCGCTGCTGATTACAGAGGTGGTCAAAGCAGCCTGGCCAGTGGCACATCCCTCTCTGGGGGTGTTCATCAGTCCACGGCGCTGGCCCGGCTGGGGAAGGGGCAGAGGTGCCCCCCACGCTCCCGCGCCCCAAAACACTCACTGCGCCTTCCGCGACTTCCCCGCCAGCTCCTCCTCGCTGCGCTGCAGCCCCATGAAGATCCCGTGCGACTCATTGAAGAGTTTCCGCAGGGTCTGGATGTAGATGTCCTGATCCCTGCGCACCACGAACACGCGGGACGAGCTGGGCGCTCCCTCCCCGGCGTCTGCAACAGAGCCCGTCAGCGCCAGGGACTGGGACCGGGATCGGGACCGGGACCGGGATGGGGATCGGGACCGGGACCGGGATGGGGATCGGGACCGGGATGAGGATCGGGACCGGGATGGGGATCGGGACCGGGATGAGGATCGGGATCGGGATGGGGATCAGGACCGGGACCGGGACCGACCTGCGCGGCCGAAGCGTGTCTCGCACACCAGCACCTCGGCGGGGCCCCAGGCGAAGCAGAGCTGCCGGGCCGACGGGTCCGCGCCCGGTACCACCTGTGTGGGGACAGCGGCCCGTCAGCGGCGGCCCCGGCCCCGCACCCGCCCCGCCCGCCCCGCCCGTCCCGCACCACGAGCGGCGGCTCCGTGTCCGGCTCCTCCATGGCCGCTCCCGCTCCCGCCGAGGCTCCGCAGGCCCCTCCGGGCTGCCCGCAACGCCGCCTGCCCGCCCCGAGCCCCGCGGCCCGGCCCCGAGCCCGGTCCCGGCCCCGCCGCCGCCGCCCCGGCGGAGCCGCCGCCCGGGGAACGGGAGGGAGCGGGAACCGCCGGCGGGTCGGGGCAGGCGCCGCCGCTCGCCCCGGAAGCACCGCCCGCTGCCGAGGCCCCGCCGGGGCGGGACGGGCCCCGCTCCGCCCCGATCCCGATCCCGCCGGAGCCGCGTCCCCGGGCCGGGCTGGGGCTGCTCCGGGGGGTTCTGAGCCTCCATGTGGCGAGCGGGGGAACGGGGTGCGTGGATGGATGGACGGATGGATGGACGGATGGATGGACGGATGGATGGACGGATGGATGGATGGATGGATGGATGGATGGATGGAAGGATGGATGGATGGATGGGTGGGTGGATGGATGGATGGATGGATGGATGGATGGAGGCTGCCCCATATTGCTCTACCTCATTTTCCTCTCAGGAGGGATTCAGTGCGCTGTGGGTGTGGTGCTGGCCCCGGGTGTGCGGTGCAGTGATCAGCTGGTCAAAGAATCGCAGGATGGGTCAGGTTGGAAGGGACATCTGGTCAGTGGAGTCATCTGGTCCCACCTCCCTGCTCCAGCAGGGTCATCCCAGAGCACGTGGCACAGGATCGCACCCAGACGGTTCTGGAATATCTCCAGTGACAGTTCTGGGAGACTCCACACCCTCTCTGGACAATCTGTCCCAGTGCTTGGTCACTGCACAGCATTGTCTTTGTGCTCGCTTCATCGACTGCACTGTAATAACCAGTTTCTCATTTCTTTTTGCACACAAAAAACACGTGCAGGTACATGAGCCTACAGGATGTTGAAGGTGACGCTCTCTGGAGCTCTCAGGTGACCTCATTGATAAAGCTGCCTAATCAAATTAAGTGCCCTGTGACTTCAGTGAGTTGCCGGTGGGCTGGGAAAGGACTCATAATGGAGCAGGATCACAGCAGGAAGAACTCCCGCTGTGCCTTATTCAATTACTCACGGTCAGGGTGAAGGTCGCTACCCCCTGGGCAGAGGTGCCTGCTGGAAGCTGCCTCATCACCTTTCTGCTGATGCTGGGAGCTCACATGCTACTTGAGTATCCCTTGATACCTTGGTGTGATAAAACACTGACTACATCCTGCTCCTCCCATCCTGCTCTCCTTCCCACCTCTGTGTACTCCTCACTTTTTGCCTGTGCCTCCCAATAACCAAGTTGTTCAGTGATACACTTTTTAAGAGAAATATTAGCAGTGCTGTCTTGCTGACCTCACAGCTGGAACCAGTCCCTCTCAGGCTGGTGCTTTTCAGAGACGCTCACTTAAAAATTAATTTTTCAAGATAGCGTAAATCATCCGCTGTCCTCATATGACAAATGCTGCAACACTCTACGGCTAAATTGCCCTTTTTTACTTATCAGCTGCTGCATCCATCATTTCCAATAAAAATAAAGCCAGCAGTTATCTCTGGCAAGAGCATGTTGTGTCACCAGTCGTGCTGAGAAAAGGAAGTGGTGTCTGCTCAGGTCAGCAGGAATGGCTTGTTGCAGGGTAGGAGAACTTAAATGCTCAGAAAGCTGCTTGAGAAACTGACTCATCAGTTTTAAATATCTCACCTTTTATTGCGGGTAAGGGTCCTGTTTTTTGTTATTGGGGATGTGCATGTATTCAAATCTCTGTCGTACAAAGTCAAATTCAGCTCTTGTCTTACAAAATGGTGCTGCTCTATGCTGCAGGCTTCTGAGGATGTTAGTGGGGATGCCTAGATCTAAAATGGCTCCAGATACAAATGAAAACTGGATGAAAACCCAGCAGTAACTTCATTCCTCAAAGGTAAAGTGCTGTTTCTACAACTGCATCGGTTTCTTGTGACTGGCAGAATACAGATAGAATATACACTGTGCAGGGCACAGGGCCCTGCCTGCAGCCCAAAGGCAGGTGACCAACCTTTACCATCTGTATTGCAAGGCCTGATGACCCCAGAGGGTGCCCATCCCTCACTGGTCTTTTTTTCTCTTCCTCAGCATGGAGAGAGAAGTGTTGGTGGCTGAGGTGGTGGATCTAGGAGTGGGGCAGCGTCCTCTTCTGCTCCAGCATCCATCTGTGTAAAGAGACACTGAAAGGTGAAACTCTCTGATCCTCCCCTGCTTGTCTCTTGGCACGTGCAGTCCACTTTGCTCACTCACTAAAAGCCTCAGGGGCTTTTTCTATCTGCAGCATCTGGTGTTCTTAAATTGATGAGAAAGGTGGCTGGTTCCTGGGGAGGTCATCTTGGGAAAGGTGAGTTTTAGTATGAAATCCTGACATTTCTTAGTCCTCTTTTGAGTACTGGCTGGAGCTCTGCATGTATCTAGAAGGGAAACATTCCTGCTCATGTCTCAAAAAGGCTTCTGTGCCTGTCCAGTCCATGTAATTAAGCAGAATTGGGAATGACTGTGTCACCATGGAACTTCGTGTTGCTCAGAAAGGCTTTGGAGTACAGGCTCTGGGTCCAGCAAGGAAGGCAAAGGCAAAAAGAAACTGCATTGCTGTCTTACAGCCAGGAGAAAAAGAAAAAGCCAAAAAGAAAAGGTCTGATGAGGATAGGAGTTAGAAGTTGTGAAACAGGAGGATTGGAAGCTATTTGGGGAACAGGGAGAATGATCAGCATCGTGAATGGGGAAGGCACAGCACAGGCAGGGCCTCAGGCAAAAGGTAATTTCTATTCCCAGGGCTAAGCCAGCATTAATGAAGAGCAAAGCCTGAGTAAAGCACTCAGACCTGCAGGGTCGGGGCTGAGCTCGATGCACTCGTTTATGCCTCCAAATTACTGTTTGCTTTCTGTCCTTGCCTTGGACTCAGTGCAAAGTAACACACAGTTCTGGAGGGGCTGGAGTTGCTTTTGAAGGTTTATGCTTGCTGATGGGCAGGAGCACACACCTTCTGCCTGTAGCTGCCTTAATGTCTTAAAAATCTTAACGATTTAAAATCTCAGTGTGAAAGGAATGTATGTGGAATGCATGTATTCCCTACCCTCTTCACTAGAGGCTGGTGAATTAAGCCAAAGAGCTCTGCAAGATACACCATATTCCTTCCTTATAAAACTGCTGCACAAGAATTAAACAAAGCATGGAAATATTTTAAGACACAACACGTGGACTTTTTTTTTTCCCCCTCCAGAGTTGGAATGTCTCAGGAATTCTCACTGGGATGCTTCCCTATTCACTTCCCTTCAGCTCCGTGCATTGAAGAGGAGGAGCTGAGAGGGACAAAAAGCTTTGCTTTGCTCCCCTCTGCTGCAGCCCCGTCCCTGCAGGACTGGCCTTTGTAGTTCCCAGTGTGGCTTCTCCCCTGCCGCTGGCTCTGAGTGCTGCCGGCTGGCCAGTCCCTTTGCAGGTTTTAGCACTGCCTATTGTCGGCTCCACCGAGCCTCTGGTTTCTCAGAGTTTCCTCTGTTGCTATGTAAAAATAAAAGCCACACAGAGATGAGGTTTGTAGAAACCTGCTCTGTGATTTGGGATCTGTGTAATTGGTGGTGAGGCCGATGCTGGTACAGCTGAAACAGTTTGCAGCCTTTTTGAGCACATCTAACTCCTGCAGTGGCAGTGCAATCCCATATGTTCTCATAAAATCTAGAGTATTTTCCTGTCTTTTTTAGCACATTTGTTCTATTTGTGATGCTGCCTTAACGTGTGTCTCGCTTGAAGCCATTCTTGCCTTCAGATCTTTAATGCCCTGCTCAGGCCTTGGCCAGTTTCATCCCACCTCCCAAAGAAGCACAGGGATCTTCAAGGAGGGAGGGGGAAGAAATTACAAGAGCAAAATAAAACAGGATGGTCATGCAACATCGGCCTTGTGATGCCTTTCCTCACATTTCTCTGAGATGTTGCATCATTTCTAAAAATAGAACTTAAGGTCCATTGGGAATTGGCATTTGTCCTTTGTTCTCTGAACTACCCCGTGGGTTTGGAGTCTTGCTTAAAAAAGCCATGGATGAGGTAGAAGAATAGAGTGGGGATTAAGGTGCTTTATTTCCTTGTCATGTAGTTCTGCTGCTTAGTGATGATGATGGACTTTAGAAGGTCCAAAGGGCTTGCCCATTGCTCTTCAGAGCTCAAATAAAAGGAGGCTGGTCAACCATCAGACATGTGAGGGGGATTTGGACTGAAGCACATTGTCTTCTCTAGCCACAGGTGCTTCTCAAATCCCTGTAACTGAAATAAATAGTAAAATAATAGCATGAGTAATTAAAATCAGAGAAAACAGGCAGGATCAAGTGATTGGAACAGTCTTTTGATGATAAATCAAGGAAAATGACACAGGTAGGAGTGGAAGCACAGCTCAAAGGAGTGTCTATTTGAGTCGCAGTCGCAATTTGAAACAGCATCTGTTGCCTTCTTGGGTCAGACTCAGCGCATCCAGTGCCTGGGAATTTTCCAGAACTGACTCAAGAAGACTCTTCAGAAGGAGTAAAATACCAAAACTGAAAGGTTCTATAAAATTTTAGATTAAATTTGATCTTTCAGAGTACTGAAGCAGAGGGAAAGTTTTACAATATATAGGAGCCTGGATTACAAGGACATGGTAAAAGGCTTCACAGCAGTATTTTGTGGAAGTTCAGCTGCCTGCTTGCCTCAGGTAGGGCTGTGCCTGTGTTATTTTCTCAACTGTGGACTTGGATAAAGGTTTGGCTTTAACTTCCTCTGCTCAGTGGGTGTTACTGTTCTTCAATTTCCAGAAAAAAACAATCCCTGTGTCTGCGCTCGGAAGGAGCTGGAATGTGAAGTAACACAGGCAGAGGAGGAGAATCGGAGCTGACAGTGAAAAGGGAGCCTGGCAGCCTGGGCTCTGCCTGTAGGCAGAGTTTTTCTTCACTTGATATTTCACTATTTCAGTAGTTTATTATGGACGAGGAACATCTCCAAAATGGTGCAGGAAGTTTTGTCATGCCGGAAGCAGAGGGTGCGTGTGACCACATGGCCACCTCTGTGCCATGACCTGGAGTGTGTTCCCACATCGAGCGGCACCAGTGTGGAGTGATGTCCACCTGGGAAATCCATCCCTGAGGTGTTGACAAGGATAATTTTTGGGGTGTTTCTTTTCCATCTATGTGATGTAAAGAAACAGTTGAACAAATGATTGTGGTGGGTGTAATGCTGAAGAAAAAAGGCACCAAAACCGTTTTGTGGGAACCTATGAAATCCCTGGAGTTACTGAGAATTTCCTCTTCCCTTCAACTGGAATGAACTTGAAGAAATCACATCATTGGTGGTATATCCTGTGATTTATGTAGTGTAATTTATGTAGTGTAATTGCTGGAGTGCTGCATCATGCCTTCAGCTTGCTGAAGAACACACATAAACCTTGACTGAATTTAGTTCAATTGAAGGTGCATTTTTGGGATGTGGCAGGGACTCTGTTCCCTCAGCAGACACTGCACCTCTCCCTCACCGGGGCAGCCCAGGGGGTTTGGAGGGCACCGTGTGGGTGCCAGACCCCGGAGCCTCCATCAGTGTCACCCGTAACACAGCAAAGACATGAGCGGGGGGGAAGATTTGAGGAGGCCCAGGACAAGGCTGAGATGAGAGGGATCACAGAATCAATTGGGTTGGAAAAGACCTCTGAGATCATCAAGTCCAACCTATGATCCAGCACCATGTCAACCACAGCAGGGCCCTGAGTGCCATGTCCAGCCTTTCCTTGAACACCTCCAGGGACAGGGACTCCACCATCTCCCTGGCAGCCCGTTCAGTCGGGCTGGGGATGGTATGGGGAAGGTGTGTGTGGGGAGAACACTGTGTGGGGCACTGGTGGGCGGCTGGGCAGCTTTGAGATTTAAAATATGAGGAGGCCCAAGATGAGGGTGAGACAAGAAGGATCCTCAGAGGAAGGTGTGTGTGTGGGGGGAGAGTGGCATGAGGTGCTGAGGGGGCACTGATAGGGTTGTGGCGAGTCGGCTTTGGGGAGATTTAGTATTTGAGGAGGTCATACACGAGGGGGATCGCCGGGGGAAGGAGTGTTGGGGAAGGGCGCGAGGCGCTGAGGGGACCGTGAGGGCGGCCCGGCGGCCATTTTGCGGAGGACAATGCCCGCCGCGCGGGGCGGGGCGGGGGCGCGCGCACGCAGCGCGCGGGCAGCGCGGGCCCGGGGGCGCGCGCGCGCCCCTCCCCTCCCGCCGCCGCCGCGTTATGTAACGGCCGCGGGGCGCGCGCGCGCTCCCTTCCCCCTCCCTTCCCCTCCTCCCTCCTGCCCCCCCTCCCCCCGCCCGGGCCTGGCCCCGCCCCCTCCCCGCGCGCCGGGGCCCAATGGGCGGCGGGGACGCGCTCGGGAAGGGGGGAGGGGGAGAGCGCGGCGGGGACGCGCACGCACGGGGGCAAGGCGCGGTCCCGCGGCTGTGCGTGCGCGCTCCCGGCCCCCCCCGCCTTCCCCTCTCTCTGTCCCTCTCTCTCCCTCTCTCCGCCGCGCTCGGCCGGCTCTGCCCCCCCTTTGTGCGCGCTCCGAGCCGCCCCCGCATCGCCGACTCGCCATGGCCGACGAGAAGCCCAAGGTGAGGCCGGCGCGCTCCGCCGCTCCCGCCGCCGCGCTCGGCCCCTCAGGCGGCGGCCCCGGCCCGCGGCCCCCGCGCCGCCTTTGCGCGCCATTTTCCTGCGCGGGCTGGGGGGGGGCCGCGGCCGCGGCTCCCGGGGCGGGCGGGGGATCCCCGGGGAGGGGGGGGCGAGCCCGGGCCGCCTTCCCGCCCTCCGCGGGGAGAGAGGCAGGTCTGGAGGCGGTTGTTGCTGCCTTCCTCCTCCTCCTCCTCCTCCTCCTCCTCCTCCTGCTGCCGCCGCTCGGCCGCAGCATCCCCGTGGCCGCCCCGGCCGCCGCTGCCCACACGGTCCCCGCTCGGCTCCGGCCCCTTTGTGCTGCCTCCAGCCCCGCTTCGGGCCGGGAGGGCGCGGGGGCCCCGCTCCCCACCGCGAGAATTAACAGGGACACGGACGAGGGGTTGGATAGTTTGGGGGTGTTTTTTTTCCTCTCATTTTAATTTTTTTTTAATATCTTTTTCTCCCCCCGCAATTTTTAACCCGAGTTCGAAGTGGCGGAGGGCGCGGAGCGGACACATGGCGGGACCCGGCGCGCAGGGAAGAGGGAAAACAAAGCTGAGCTGTGGGATGTGGGTGCCGGGTACCCCCCGAACGGGACGGGCTGGATCCCCTTCCCTGCTCCCCAGAACACGAGGGACCCAGCTGGAAGTCGCTCCTCCGCAGTTTTCCCCTCCCAAAGGGAGCGGGAGGGTCGGGCTGCTTGTTAGGGGGGGTTTCTTAAACCTCTTCTGAAGGGGAGGCTTCAGGTTTTGTCACCTTTTCAAACACAGCCCTTTAAAGTATCTTGAAAGTTTTCTTCAGAAGTACCTCAACCGGTAGGAAAAAGTTTGAGATACTGCGAGAAGGAGCCTCGCTGCTGGTTGGGATCACAGTTATAACACAGAACAACGTTATAACAGATCGTTGATATAACACAGATAACTTCATCCCTTTCATTGGCAACACTGTTGCATATTATCGTGCCCTTGATAGAAATAACTTTTTTTTTTTAATCTGTTATACGACTGGCCTAGTAACTCTTCATTGCTACTCTGCCAGTCTCCACAATGACAGCTAATATCAGTAGGATTTCGGGTTGGGTTTGTTTTTGTTTTTTTTTGTACGTGGCTTTTTTCTTTACATTTTCAAATAAAAACTCCTGACCTTTATATTCTTCTCAAGGTTTCAAGTCAGTGAACAGCTGTAGTATCTTTATTTCCTCCTTTTTTAATGACCTGTTGCACTTTGGTAAAATGTTAACTTCTTGTTTCGTACCTTCTAAAAAAAGTGTTGGTTATTTTTTTTTTTTCCCTTTTATTTCCTCCACAGGAAGGAGTGAAGACTGAAAACAATGACCACATTAATCTGAAGGTGGCAGGGCAAGATGGGTCTGTGGTGCAGTTTAAGATTAAGAGGCACACACCACTTAGTAAACTAATGAAAGCCTATTGTGAACGACAGGTATGATCTCAGGAGAACCGGTGTCTGGGGGACAGTGATCCCCACAGGGATAGATGAAGACACTTGCAGTCTTAAAACTATGTAAATATGCAAAATGGTAGAGATTTAACAGAAACTAATTGTGTTGTGGAAAGTGTATTGTCCTGAGGGTCTGTTAACAGGGGGGACTGAGAGGGTTGTGACAGGAAATGAGTGAAATAAAGATGGGTTGTTATCTGTGAAATCTGCATTTATAGGTGGAGGCTGTTGGGAGGCAACTGCTGCTCTATTGCTCAGAAATATCAGCGTGGAAAGGGTGGGTTTGATATGAACTCAGGAGAGAGGGTTGAGTGATAATCAGGGGTTTTTATAGCTCTGAGTAACTTCTTGGTCTGGTCACTGACTTGTGATTTATTATCTCAGTATTACTGTATTGACATGAGAGGATATCTAGTTTGAGAAGGAGCTTCTCCATTTAATGATGACCTTGGTTTTTCTCTTGTGGCTTAGTTGACAAATTAATCCTCTGAGGGACAAAACCCATGTATTTTGTTGGTGTGGTGGCAGCTGCAGGCAGCTATTACAAGTTTTAACAACACCTGTTTGAGTATTCCTGTGGAACATTTTCTTCTGAAGCTTTTGATGAGGAAAATTTTGTCTCTGCTCTCCATGATTTTTTTTTTTTTAATGACTGTCTGCCTTTAAAAAGTTCCAGCTCTACAAAAGTGTTCAGAATTTGGAAATTTATTTATTTATTTTTAAAACCCAGAAATATTCAATTATACTGTTGAATACAAGTGAAGTCAGAATAAAGTATTTAATCACCAAGAAAAACAAACTGCAGTTCACCCACAGAGTGGTAAAACCTCTTTGGCTTACCCTGTGCCACAATAGGATATGAATAAAGAGAAAAATCAGCTCTTACTGAACATGTGAATATGTTCTTGAGTGAGTGTTCTGGGGATAAATTAGTGAATGCTTGAACCTGTGAGCTTGTTTTTCCTACCTCAGTCATACAAAATCTTGTTATGTTTTGCAAATCACCGTGTGTTGCTTTTTCCAGTCATAAAGTCCAGTTGTATCTGTCTTTTTGGGAGTTTGAGGAGTGGCTATTTGTCTGTAAAATCCTGGGAAATGAGAAGTAACCATTCATACTTTGAAAACAAGCAAAAGTAAGATTCTAGAACTTCTCACCAAAATGTCTACTCTGCTTAGAAAAAAAACCAAAACAAACACTCAAAAACAAAACTAGCAAAAAACCCCCAGACATCAATTGGAGGAAAATATTAGTAAATCTTGAGAGTGGGAGAGATTTGTTCTGATTTCAGTTTTAAGCTGGTAGCTATCCAAAGAATATTTCTGTGGAGATGGAGTTGTCTTTACATTTTATTTCTTAGGTGCCTCTCAAACTTTGTTTAAAAGCATTTGTTCTGCACGTCTCTAAAAGTTAGATTTTATTAATGTATTTATTTACCTAACTAGGTACACTCAGGCTTAAAATCCTTCAGCTGTGGACTTCAGATTTCACTTTGGAGAGGTGGTACAGTAGAGGATTTGGCAGCTTTAAAGAATGAAAATCATTTAGTGTGTGTAGTAGACCTAAAATGGAAGTAACTAAACCTTGAATGATCTGTTTAGAAGATGAAGACTACTTGTGATTATTTTAAGTGGTGAAAAAATCATCCATGGAACATAAACTCAGTGTTTTGTGGACACCAATCCCACCAAAGTAGAACTTTTCAGTATGTTTCAGCTGACATTTATTTAGCATGTAAAGCTGTCAGGAACCTGCAATAAACATCACTTTGGGAATAGGAAATACGTATTTTAAGTAACATAATGTCAGAGAAGAGGGGCTCCAACCAAATGTTGCTGTGCAGAAAAGTGTTGCTGCCTTGTCACTGAGCCACACAGTTTTCTTAGACCAGAGGATGCTCTGAGTGAACACTGCAGAGTCTCAGTCCTGCTAGAGGAGGCATTTTGCTGTGAAGTATTAAGTTAATGAAAAAGTTTACTTGTATTTATTAAAATATGTTTTCCTGACAAATCTGCTCCTCAAAAATAATTACTACATTGTTTTCCTTTGTGTGTTACATCCGCTCTTGCAAAGCTAAGTGAAGGCTTCTGTTCTAACTCAGAGATGCCAAAGCACGACCCTGCAATCCACTGGATTGGTTTCAAAACCCAACGAGGCTTCTTGGATATTTAGATACTCCAGAGGGAACAGACAGAACTGGGAAGGAAGTAGAGACCAAGGCTCTGGTTGTATCCCCAAATGTCATTCACCTTCTCCTGCAGAATGTGGTGTTCTCTAAAATACCTTTGAAAACTGACTATTGATTTTTTTTTTAGCTGATATTATCAGTAAAAGGAGTTGTTG